GCTGTTTGTCACGAGATGCGCCCCTTACTGTTGGCCCAGTCTGGAGCCCTGATCCGACGTGATTGTTTTCGTACTCGTTGGGAAAAACGGACCATCAGGACGACAATAAGCAACCGCGGACGAACAGTAAACAACTGGCCTGCGAGCTCATCGCGGCCAGACGTGTGACTAAAATTTTGGGGATAGAGGGCCGTCCTAAATATGTCCCACGAAGCAGGTCTCCTTGGGACTGTCCCATTTTGACGATGAGAAAGGCTGGAGGGCCCGGGCCAGGCAGATGTTTGCCCGACTGGTGGCCCGGGCGACGCTGGACCTGGGACCTGAGCAGAGAGAGAGAGAGAATATTTTTAAACTAGCCAGGCAGTGGCGGTGGCACACGCCCATAGTCCCAGTTCCTCAGGAGGCCTGGGGGGATCGCCTGGGCCCAGAAGTTCAAGGTTGCAGCGGGTGGTGATCGCACCACTGTGCCCCAGCCCGGGCAACAGAACGAGACCCCCAGCACAGGAAAATATAAGAAAGAAAGAGAGAGAGAGAGAGAGAGAGAGAGAGAGAAAGAGAAAGAAAAGGAGAAAGGAAGGAAAGGAGAAAGGAAAGAAGGAAAGGAAAGGAAAGGAGAAAGAGGAGAGGAGAGAGGAGAAAGGAAAGGAAAGGAAAAAAGAGAAGAGAGAAAAGAAAAGAAGAGAAAAGAAAAGAGAAGAGAGAAAAGAAAAGAAGAGAAAAGAAAAGAAAAGAAAAGAAAAGAAAAGAAAAGAAAAGAAAAGAAAAGATATTTATCAGGCCCTAACTCTGAGCCAGACCCTGTGCCCGGCATTTCTTGGGGACTCTCGGAAAGGTTTCTCCAGCGCCCCGCGAGGGCCGCCACCCCACAGATGAGGACGCTGAGCGCCCGAGGGGCAAACCGCTTGCCCGAGGAGCCTCCCCGGCACAGGCTCCGGGTGCGGGGCGCGGGGGTGGGGTTGAGGGGAGCAGAGAGGCCCAGGAAAGAGCCTTCCCCGTGGAGCCAGCAAACCACGGGATGGGGGCGCCCAGCACTGCCCTCCTCCCCCCTCTTACTAGCTTCGGCCTCGGTCCGCCCCCCCCCGCCCCCCACTGTCCGGCTCCCCCTGGCACCCCGGTCTGGCCCGGATTGAGCTTGCTCTGAAGCATCAGCCTGGGGGGGCGGGGAGGCTGAGCATGCGATTGGTGGGGGGAGCGGGAACCGGAGATGACCAGGAAGGCGGTCTGGGATGGGCACACGCCCCAGTCCCGGGCTGACGGGGTCTCTCGCCTCTGCTCCCTGACCCTCAGTCACTTCCTGTCCAGGGCGAGGTAACCCAGATCGACCCTCCGAGTGACCCAGTCTCCCACCCCCACCCCCGACTTCCCCCTTGTTCTCCCTGTGCATGGGGCGATCCAAGAGTGGGGGGCTGCCTGGGGGGCTGGGAAGGGACCTTGAGGGGTGCTGGCGGCCACAGGTCTGCAGGCCCGGCGGAATGCCCTTCTGAGTCTCACAGGCGGGGGGACTAGGACAGGAGCTTTTGGCCCAGCTCTTCCACGGTCCCCGTCAGAACCAGACATTCGGGAGGACACTGTGGTGGCCCGGAACAGAGGTGCACCTCGGCCGGGCGCGGTGGCTCACACCTGTAGTCCTAGCACTCTGGGAGGCCAAGGCAGGAGGATCACTTGAGGTCAGAAGTTCAAGACCAGCCTGAGCTAGAGCGAGATGCCATTTCTACTAAAAATAGAAATATTAGCCGGACATGGTGGCACGCACCTGTAGTCTCAGCTACCTGGGAGGCTGAGGCAGGAGGATGGCTTGAGCCAAGGAGTTGGAGGTTGCTGTGAGCGAGGCTGACGCCACGGCACTCACTCTAGCCTGGGCGACAGAGCGAGACTCTGTCTCAAAATCTAGAAGTACTTAGGCCCGGCGAAGTGGCTCACGCCTGTAATCCTAGCACTCTGGGAGGCCGAGGCAGGCGGATGCTCGAGGTCGAGGAGTTCGAAACCAGCCTGAGCAAGCAGGGAGACCCCTGCTCATACAATAGGAAGAAATTAATTGGCCAACTAATATATTAAGAAAAAATTAGCCGGGCATGGTGGCGCATGCCTGTAGTCCCAGCTACTCGGAGGTGAGGCAGGGGATGGCGTTGAGCCAGGAGATTAGGTTGCTGTGACGCAGCCTGACGCCACGGCACTCACTCTAGCCAGGGGCACAAAGTGAGACTGCTGTCTCAAAAAAAAAGAAGAAGTGCACCCTCATGACCCAAGCGGAAGAGGCGAATGTTTGGCTCTGCAACTGAAAGATTGAGGGGTTGGATTGCTTCTCCGGAATAGCTGGATCCAGAGTCTCCAACCATACATTGCCCGTTGGTCTCATGGGCGACCCCGTGGGCGGCGCTCTCTCTCTCTGGCCCTCTTAGCGCAGAGGAGCTTTCTGACGTCACAGCCAAGTCCCAAGCCCAACTCCTATTGGCCAGCTTGGGTCACATGACCTCCCTAAGCAATCACTGTTGGCCATGGACAGGGGCTGCTCTGATTGGCCAGCTGTGTGTGTGGTGGGGGGGAGCCCATCCTACCTGGCCACAGCTCTGAGGGCAGCGTGGGGGCATTTCTCAGCAGAAACTTAGATGCCAAAGGGGATGCGGCGGGGCAAAGAGGAAGCTCCCCCGACAAGCTGCCACTGCAGCAAGACGGGTTTCTGGGTCAGGCGATGCACTGAGGTGGCCCGTGGGGCTGGGGTCAAAGCTAACGAGGGCCAGAGGGGGGAGACTGAGGCAGGAGAGGGGTAGCGAGCATCTTGAGAAGGACATTTCAGGGCACCAAAAGAGACCCATTGCTTCAGAGGGAGTGGGGGACCTGGAACAGTTTCGGGCAGAGGAGGGACGGGTCTGACCTAAAAGGATTGCTCTGGCTGGCGTGTTGGGAGTAGCCGGGAGGCCGGAGGCAGGGAGACCCAGCGGAGGAGGCCACTGGCAATATTCCCAGGCACCACAGGGAGGAGGCAGGACCGGGGCGGGCCAAAGCCACCCGGGTACCGCCGATTCCCACCATGCCACGCCTTGAAGGGTACGAGGTGGGCAGGAACTCGTCAGTGCTAACCGTGGCCAGTCTGTGGAGGCCCCTGCGAGGCAGGCATGCTCCGGGAGGAGAAGCCAGCGCCACAGAGGCCTGGGTGGTCGGAGGCTGCCTGAGGTGGTGGGCAGACAGGAGGACTGAGTTTGGAAGCATCGGTGGCTGGTGAAAGGAAATAAAGGAAAAGCCAACCTCGCATTGGGATCTCGATGAGGTAGAAGATCTTCCTGAGAACACACAGCAGGACAGTTAAGGGCCCGAACCCCGCATTCCTTGGCTCCCTATCGAGGACCCGGCGTCCGTGGCCCTGGCGCGTTCCCCGTCCAGCCACGTGGAGACTTGGTGCCAGCCACACGTGTGGGTGGGCGGTAGTCAGAGTTCCCTCCTGGTGGGCGGGAGCGATACGGAGCTCCACACCGAGCACCCCCCCCCCCCGCCCTGCCCAGGCTCGGGTGTGGAAGACCCGTATGGTGAGCTTCCGTCCCACGTCGACTCTTCACGCTGCCGGGAACGGCGGCACAAGGTCCCTGGTGAAGGTGAGTGGCCGCGCGGGCGGGAGGCTGCCCGCCCAGGACTCACCGGGCTCCGAGAAGAGAACCACCACTCGCAACTGGCCCTTAAGCAAGAAAAGCATTTTGGGGGCCGGGCACGGGCTCCGCGCCTCGTCAATCCCAGCACTCCTGGTGAGGCCGAGCGCAGGGAGGATGGCTTGAGCTCAGGAGTTAGAGACCCAGGCCTGAGCAAGAGCGATGACC